AATATTAAATTTATATTATGAAATTTTCTAAAATGATATAAAAAAAAATACCAAATTAAGAATAGAATATAAATTATAAAATAATAGCAAAATATTAAATATTTTTATTTCTTTCGCAATTAAAAAGTATGCAGTAATAATTTTAAATAACAAATAAGAAAACCAGAGTAATATCATATATAAAATTTTTTAAAACATATATTTGTTTATACAATTTGAAATAAATAAACAAAATATACTAAAAAATAAATAAAATAAAAAAAAAAATGAAATAAAACTAAAATTGATAAAACTAAAATAAAATTAAAAATAAATTACAAATAAAATTAAGAATAAAATTATTATCAGTTTTAACATAATACCATAAAATATTAAAAATAAATAATTATAGATCAATTGTGCCCCTTAGTCGGACTAGAGTGTTTCTCCAAGTCCTATTTCTTTAATGAAAGACAGTATAGAATCTATCTTTTCTAACCTTCAATCCCTATGTTCAATGAAATAGCCTGATAGTTGTTTCTTCCGCTTGTGCATCAATGCCGGGTGGTTTTTCTCTCTCTTCTCTACAGTACCTACAGTCTGAGTTGTGTTGGATTCCTAACTTCGTTGGCTGATTATTCAATCTTCAGTGATCGATAAGTAATCCCGTAATAATGTAATGTTATAAGTCCCTAAGAGCATAAAAGAGTTGTTTTTCTTATTTTTCTGCGTCCGCTCATAAGAAAAGGAATAGAGATTCTTTGCTTAGACCGCAGATAGATTCTGGGTCTGTCATTATTAAAGCTGCTCTTCTTGCAAGTTTGTCTGCCATTTCATTGCGTTTTATTCCAGTATGCTCCGGAATCCACACAAAAGATAAAAAAAAGGAAAGCAAAATGTACAAATATGTACAAAAAATACAAAAATATATAAATATGATAAAAAATAAGTAAAAATTAAGTAAGTAATATGTTTGTTTATCAAGTAATTAAATAATAAAAAATAATATAAATAAAACATAAAAATAAAATAAGTACTTAGTGAGGAAAAATAGCAAATAAATACTAAAAATAAAAAATAGTAAATAAATACTAAAAATAAAAAATAGTAAATAAATACTAAAAATAAAAAATAGTAAATAAATACTAAAAATAAAAAATAGTAAATAAATACTAAAAATAAACTAAAATAAATGAATAATTAAATAAAACTAGAGAATAAATATAAAAAAATGCAGCATATGAAAAGTGGTATATATAAAAAATAATATTACAAAAAGAAAGAAATTATTAAATAATATATACTTAAAAAAAATTTATCAACAAATCAAAATTACAAATGGTTATCATAGATCATAAGGATTCAAGACTGGGGAAGATAGGATCCATACTGTCTTTCATTAAAAAAATCGGACTTGGAGAAATACTCTAACCCGACAAAGGGGCACAATAGATCTTTTAGGTCGCAGTGCACGATCCCTTACTCAATAATAATAATAAATTATAAATTAAATTTTAGTTAAGAAGAAAAAATATAGTTCGAAATTAAAGAAATAATTATTGGAAATATAAAAAATAAATAAATATAAGAACATATAAATTAACTGATTGGAAACTTGTAAAATATTAATTTAAATATATAATATAAAAATTGTAAGTAAAAGTGAAGAAAAATAATTATTATTGATTTACTACTTATTATCTAATTAATATTAATTATTAAGAATGCTTCATTATAATAGTTTTCATCAACTATTGTACAACATATCTTAATTTCATATATTTTCAAATTAGTTTAAGCTTATTATAAATACTATATTTTAAGCTATCAAATTCTGATTACATACTTTCTATAATACTTTCACATATTTCTTTTTTATATATAGAACAAATTGAAATTAAGAAATTAATGCATATATTTTTAATTCTACTATAAAAGGTATTAAATTTGTAATGTAACCATGTGAACTTAGTTTTTTTAAAATTATTATATCAAGTTAAATTTTTAAAGATTAGTGAGTGAAGAGTGGAAATACTTATATTGGGAAAAGAAAGTGTTAAGGTGAATCGGTATAAGTTCTACTGAACTAATGCATCTTTCATCAGCATTTTCGTGGAATTTTGTACACTTTCTTTCCATTTTGACTTAAAATTTAAACCATTTTGTATTATTTATGGAAAATCATAACTAGGCAAGAATGTTATTAAGTAAAAGCATAAATTAAGGCGCATACAATGGCGTCTAATTTTCCGATGTTTCACAAGTCATGTGTAATTGTTTCGTGTCCAATCAACTGCAAGTAAAACATTTAACCTAGTTTTGGGTCAAAATAGTGACATGTGCTCAAGTTAACAGAAAAGCATTTTTAGTTTAATTATATATGAATTTATAAAATATTCTATAATGTTTTTCAGCTTATGAAAATAAATTGTGAAGAAAAGTACGAAAAGAAACTTAATTCTAAGGTTTTCAATCGAAATAGCTTTAATATGCTAACATATATTTTATAGATACATAAAAATAATATTTATTTATGAGTATATATGATGGATTTTGGCAAAATATTTTATTGTATTATTTATGACTAAATAAGCTAGAGAAGAAGACGGCACCTATGACTAAGATTTAATGTCAAAAAGAGCTAGGAGAACCAACAATAAACAAGAGAGTAAAACTAAAGCGATTACAATGGGCTGGACATATTCAAGGAATGAGCATAGATAACCCAACAAAAAAAATATTTCAACATGCAGCAGAAGGAAGAAGGAAAATAGAACGTCCGAGTTTACGCTGGATAGACAATGTGGATCAAACAACGAAGCAGCTTGGAAGAAAAAACTATAAAATGATAGAGATACGTGGAAGAATTTTTAAAGGGAGGCCACTATTCAACTAGGATCATTATGCCACTAATGATGATGATGATGATGATTTATGACTGTCTTGGACAAGTAGTCGTTACCATATTTTCAAGTAATAAAATTGAAATAAATATTTAAAGATAAAAAGTTGTGATAATATATTCATACAGTGATATTTCAGTGGTATTATATTTAAGCCACGAACTACTGCCTAAGTAAGCAATTTTGTTGAACTCGTCTCACAGAGTTCGTAACAAGGTTTTATTTCTTTAGGAGTCTATTTAATTGTAGTTCTTTTCTATTAAATTCTATTAGGAAGTATAATCTATTTTTTTATCATTGATGTATGACCTTACAAGTTATTTTCTCGAGATTATGTCCAATCTTTTCTCAAATTTTGTGAAAGGTTTCGTATCCTTCATATGATGATGAAATTTATGCACCGGTGCTGGCAAAATAACGAATCATGCATAGGGCCACCCACCGTTATTTGAAACCCTAATTTAGACATTAAAAAAATGTGAAAAAATATTTTAAATTTTAATACTTTTAATAAATTACTTCTTTAATTTATAGACAACTTATATTAATTAATATATTAATACATATAATCTACTTGGTGTTTTTTTAATATGACAATCAGGCTGCTCTTAAAGCTCTGACTTCTAGGACATTAAAGTTAAAAAAGGTTCTCGTGCGTTGTGAGCTCCTACAGGTACTTGCAACTCAGAATAAGGTAAGACTTTATTGGGTTCTAGGTCACAGAGAGCTGTTAGGTAATGAGCTTACTGAAAAGCTAGCCACAACTGCAACAAAAAGCGTTTTTACAGGACCTCAACCCTTTTGTGGGTTGAAGTGGGCCAGTTGTTTGCGTTAAAACAAATAATCAGGGAAGGTAGAATTTTTTTGTGTCTGTTTACTGGGAAGATTTGCATGTATTTAGACAAAGCTAAGCAATGATCAAATCATACTTCTACAAAAATATTCTTAAACGATTTAACGCGTTTGATTACAGGCCATTTTGGCTTGAAATATCAGCTATATCAACTTTAATTATCTACTAATTCGGTATGCAGTTTATACCTCGACATGCAGTTTATAAGGAGACAACTATGCATATTCATTGTGATTGTCCAGCTTTAACAATGCACAGAAAAAACTTGTTTCATATGGAGTTTCTGTCAACAGTACAATTAAGAGTTAAAATCTAGAGTTTGGTTGGTTGCAGTGGCAAGCCATTAGATAACTTCCATGTACCTCAATTAGCGATTTTTCGCCGTTTTGCTACCACATTATAGAAGAGTAGATACTTAGTTCCGTCGAATTTAGGTAATTTAATAGGTCTTTCGTCTTCACCGATGAACAGTCTGATAAACTATCAATAAAGTATATTCCTAAGAACTTATTTTTTCTGGATGCCAAAGCCGGACATTCACATAGAAAAATCTAGAGTTTAGTTCTAGATTTTGTTCGCAAACTTTAGAGGTCTTTGTATAATTAAAGAGAATTTGAATAGGACTCTTTTAGTCACAGTACAGGTTGTTGGGCAAATTCACGCTACTAGTTTTAATGATAAGAATTTTTAATGATATACCTAGTGTTTCCGCTTCATTTCTGCTTATTTAGTTGATTTATTTAACCCTCGCGGTATTATTATTGGCAAAATGAAGTTCAGTTTTTTATTTAATTTTACATGAGATAAAGTCCCTTCTTATTTATATAAGTTTTCAATATATAATAATTTATTTATTTTGAAAAAAGGGGACAACAAACTGTATGAATGTTTAATAATGGGAAGAGTTTTAAAGTTAGTTCTGGGTTAGTGTACTTAAATTGAATATCTAAAATTAAGATCTCATATATTGTATATATTTTGTTTGTATATATTTATTTGTTTGTTATTATATGTTATATATAGTTTGTTTATATGTTTTTTTTTTCATAAGTTTTTATTTTTAAGTATATTTATTCTCTTTAGTTGTTGTGCGTGTATAAACACAATGGTTAAACATTAACAAAATTAAGGCTTGTTTATTTGTCATTCTTAGTTTCCTTTATTTTGCATATATGAAAACTAAATACTTTATATATTACGATTTTTTTATGACTGCTACTACAAGTTGTGTTGCTAACTAAAATATTTTTCTTGTTTATTTTTAGGTATGTGTAACTAAAATTTATTATTTGCCACACAAAATTATTTACAACCACATTTCATGCCACGTACTGGTAAGTGCTAAAGTTGGCAATAAGTTATCTTGCCATCAAAATATTTTTGCAAGAACGGACGGCGCACTATTAATTTTCCCACACCAAAAGCGTACTTAATGCGGCTTTTACCCCCACACAGGTGATCGGCAGCAGCTATAAACTTCATGTCCAATGTTACTCCCGCTTCACAATTATTTTGCTTTAAATCTTTTTTTATTTATCTTTTAGTTATTTATATACAAAAAAGATATATATTTTTTTTTGTGCAGAATTAAACATTTGACATTTCATTATTTAATTTTAATTTTAAGCAAAATTCTTACGTCATTTTTGTGGAGTAAAAAGTATCTTGACTAAATTTTTTGCAAGGTTGAACAAGGTAAACTGCTTATTGAATTTGGGTGGCGTACATAAATATTTACTTCACTTTTTATTACTATATTTGGCCTTTTAAACAAATATTTAATATTTGTGACATTAAGTTTTATGCAATTAAGACTTTATTTTCTCAAAACTTAATGTCAGTTTGATATGAATATAAATCCACAAAAAATATCTTATCAACAAAATGTCGCACTCATTAACAATGATTATACGCAAATTTCGCGAACACCAATTTTTTGATATACTCATGATCAAATACGACCTATTTTATGACTACGTTTATTATTTAAAAAAAAAGTCCTGTTAATAAAAAAAAAATTGAAAATACTTTTTCTTTAGTAATTTTTTCTTTAAGATTTTTTTAATTATCCAAACAATTATTTTAATTGTTTCCTTTTACAGACAACGTTTTCGAAACACAATATGCATTTTAAATATTTTGTAAAAAGTGGAAATATTTTTTTTATTTTTAAATTTGCATAAATATTGTGAAAATCTGCTGGAAAAAACCTGTGAGATTTGCAATATTTCTTTTGATATATTTTTCACATTTCCTTTTTTAATTTTCAATAAAAAATTTATTAAAAAAGCAAACTTTGGTTTGTTGCCTTGGCTACTAAATAAAAGCAGTGCACTCACTGTAGAAGTAATGAAAAACTGGTTTAGAAAAGTATCTATTATTACTAAACGTTATTCGTATTGATACTAACAATTTTTTTTTATTCATTCATTCATAAAAATTATTAATTTCTCACTTTGATCAAATTACTTCATAGTAATAAGTTTGAAATAAAAAAAAAGTATTAATTGCCTTCGATGACTTACCTTAACGAAACTCTTCGCTACAACTTGATAGTGTCGATTGATAATAAGACATCTCAGCAATTTTGCTATATAATGAAGAAAAATTTCTAATCTTTAATGATCAATTAGCAAATATTATCTATATTAATAAACAAATTTTTTTAATCAATTTTGAAGCTATCAATTTATTTTTATATATTTCGACATATATAATTAATTATTACTTTTAATACTAAATTTCTTTTTAAAAAAAACTGTGAAGCAAAACTAAGCAAAGATTCTATATAATTTACTTAGTTTTTTCAAGGTTAATTTTTAAAATTAATAAAAACGTTATAATAATGATAGAATAAGAGAATGAAAGAAAAAATGGGAATGAATAAAAATGAAATGCTTTAAATAGTACTTTAGTGACGTAAAAAACAATGAAGTAATATAATAATTGTAAAAATAATAGTAAATATAATAATAATAATAAATATAAAAATTATAATAATAATAATAAATATAATAATTATAATAATAATAATAAATATAATAATAATAATAATAATAATAATAATAATAATAATAATAATAATAATAATAATAATAAAATAATAATATAATAATAATAATATAATAATAATATAGTAATAATAATATAATAATAATAATATAATAATAATAATATAATAATAATAATATAATAATAATATAGTAATAATAATATAATCATTTAATAATAATAATAATAATAAATAATAATAATAACGAATAATAATAATAATGAATAATAATAATAATGAATAATGAATAATGAATAATGAATAATGAATAATGAATAATGAATAATGAATAATGAATAATGAATAATGAATAATGAATAATGAATAATGAATAATAATAATAATGAATAATGAATAATAATAATAATAATAATAATGAATAATGAATAATAATAATAACGAACAATAATAATAATGAATAATAATAATAATGAATAATGAATAATAATAATAATGAATAATGAATAATAATAATAATGAATAATGAATAATAATAATAATGAATAATAATAACAATGAATAACAATAATAATCAATAATAACAATAATGAATAATAATAATAATGAATAATAAATAATGAATAATAACAATAATGAATAATAATAATAATGAATAATAATAATAAATAATAATAATAACGAATAATAATAATAATGAATAATAATAATAATGAATAATGAATAATAATAATAATGAATAATGAATTATAATAATAATGAATAATGAATAATAATAATAATGAATAGTAATAAATTTGAAAATT